AGCCGGCGACTGGGCTTATTAGCCGGCGGATCTTGCTATGTAAAATTCCGTCTTGGGCTTATAAGCCGGCGGATTTTGCTATGTAAAATTCCGTCCCAAGCTGACCTCGGGCTTAATACGCGGCTGGGCCTACTAACCGTGGGCTTAATAACCGGCGACTACTCTAATAGCTAAAAGCTCGGACTAATAGGCGGCTGGGCCTATTAACCGTGGGCTTAATAACCGGCGACTACTGTGATACGTGGCTGGGCCTATTAACCGTGGGCTTAATAACCGGCGACTACTGTATTGGCGACGTCTGAGATAGAAAAATGCGTTTAGTGCTTCGGTTCACTCAGTAGTCATGTTGAGTTAGGGGTGAGGGGCAGAGGGGGGAGGGAGGTATGGGTGGCGCAATCGTCTTACTCGATTTGGTCCGCGAGACGTTGAAGAGTGGAGAGGAAGCTGATCATTGCTTCGGCGAAGGTCTGCGGGAATCGCTCCTGGTACTCCGCCGAGTCGAACAGCTTGTAGTAAAAGAACGCGACAGAAGGAACAATGATGGACTGGTAGCCGATGACAAATGGGATATCGAAAAGTGCTCCTAGAAGGAGAGCTTTTTTGAATATTAATGCGGAGAAAATGTCTATAGAAAACACTCACAGAACTCTCTAGAGAGGTGCGCGGAGACATGAGTGTTTTGCAGCGGGATAGAGCCTCCAAAATTAGTGTTCCATACGCTGACGGCTATAAAAGAGAGGGATAAATACGGTGTAAAAAAGATAAAAGTCTCATCAAGTGAACGGATAACAGTTCATCATCGTTGGCATGAGCAGAATTGAGTGGGCTGCCAGTAAGACAGACTGAAAAAGAGTTAAGGTCTGAAGTTGCGGCAAAAGCAGCACAGAGTAATAAAAGCGCCGACACAACACTTCGATTCAACTGTCTTTATGAAAATTTGAACATGTATTACCTAACGGATCCTTAAAACATTCGAGTCCGGTCCGCTTCTAGTAAAATGTCTTCGCTCGAGCTCTAAAATCGTCTAACATAACTAACCCTACTGCTAAAGACTGCGATGGATTTGCTGGCATGATCAAGCATTACCCCGTGGACGTGAAACTTACACACACACTCTCCGGCCTGGCTTCAATACAGTCCTAGAAGTTTTATTTTGCTCCTGACTTCAACTTTACTCGATGGAAAAAGACTGAAATTACTGCTGTGCCTGAGAACACATTCCTATATTGGGCTAGTGAAAAATAAGCTAAAGTGCACGTTTGCTTCGCAAACCTTTAGATGGAAACGAAATTTTCTGCCAAGAATTCTCCCCTCCCCTTCCCCCATGTTTTCAACAATCAACGCATTTCTCCGCAGGTGACACCCGTTAGTAACTGATGGAAAAGATTTTAAATACGACGCACTTTTTGCCGATACATCTGCTATAAAACGGATGGTTTCCTTCTAATTACCGGAACAGGCGGAATAAAATGTCATTGGGTAAGCAAATACCTACATCAGATACCCTCATTTGGTCAAAATTATCAGTCCAAACGGCTATCGGAATGTGGCCTCTGCGCACAGCACACTTTCAGCGAGGTCAAGATGAGAGTTGGGGGTTAGCTGTAGCCTAGACAGGACAGGGCATCTACCAGTAGACTAGTTTGATAGACGGTATTCAAAGAAGAGATTAAAGGATATTTTCAGCTATCCTGTCCTTTCCCTTTCTTCTAATTGTTTAACGGTGGCTGAAGACAAGGTCCATTGATGCCTCACGAGGTGGGCGCAGCCATAGCTTACGAGCTCAAATGATGAGAATTAAACTGACGGCTACTGCATCCATTTTGATAATTGATCCCTAAACGAGCTACGCAGCAGATGCGCTGGACCAACACAGGGGCCAGATTAGGAAATGGCAGGCATTATTGGGGATTCGCACCCATAAGAAATGGCCCATACAGGTGACATACACCCATTCGGCGCGATCAGAGCCGGTGTGGGAGCACGCTTAGGTGCGAGTTCTGGCCGCGCAAGCCACCTGCGCCCTTTCCCGCCTCTGGCCTTCTTGACTTGGTTATAATACCGGATCCAGGTGGGAAGGAGGAGGAGAGGGTGCGTTATATACAGCACAAGTCTACTCACACTAGAATATAATCCACGGGCAAGTCACCGTCCTACTGTGGGATACACGGTGAATATCGGAAAGGGCAGTCTGGCTTTCTTTTAACTATATCTTTCTACACCCATCGACTTCTGGCGGTAAATCAAAGTCAAGAAGACCGGAGTTGGTCGTAAACGCAGTGATTTCTAACTAGACATGCATTAAGAGTTATTCAGGGGAACTAAGATCTCACGTAAGCGAGAATGCCACAAAGGCTACACTACAAAGAGGTCACTACAGTTTGACGTTCAGTCCTGATTAAGATCGAGTTATCACGTCGGTTGGCAACCTGCTGAGTCAGGACTTTTAATGTCTCATGACTGATCGAAGTGTGACAGATTTGTTATGCTGCGAAGTAAACTGATTTGCCTTCAGGAAGGATTCCTTCCCATTACTGGCCTCACTATTAATCCCGTCTTGAATGCACTGCTGGGCTGTCCGAAACGCTCGGCCGGCTGGAAATTAGATTGATCGCAGTGGTCGGGGTGGCATGGAACCCGCGTCTATCGCGCGCCATGTACGCACAGACAAAAGCAAATGCGCCCATCCGAAGAAGACGGAGTTGCGATCACTGGGACAAGTTTACTTGCCTGACGTTTCGGATTCTTATTCAAAGCCCTCATCGGAGACAGTCGCAGATAGGGATGGAAGTGACACAAGCCCGTCCATCATCACCGACTTTAGCTGACATGGCTTTACTGCTAGAGGGGCAAAGGATGAAAAGCCGTAATGTGTGCGCAAATGTCCGGAGATGTTAACGCAAGGCTGCGGGTGTGTGGATAGTAAAGGCTTGTTGGTAGCGGTCTCAGGAAGCGGTACTACAGCCGTGCCAAGATGGATTCGCAAATGAACGATCAGGCAGATGCTTGATTGGAATGTGCAGTCGCAGAATGAACAAGTTTGTCGTCTGCCTGCATTGTTGATGACAATAGTGTCCTTTTTGTCTTATAAAAGTTGT